GGATACATAGATTGCGGCATAAATCCCATACTTCTGCAAAATAGGGGCGAATGTGGAAAGAACGTCATTCGGGTCGTGACACTGGGGAAGTCTGAGGTGTAGTACCTAAGAAAATGAAAGGTATTAAAAAAATAAAATAAAATAAAATAAATAAAAAAATAATAAAAATAAAATAAAATAAAATTTTTTTTATACCTTTCTCTAATAGCTTGGATGACTCGTTCGAAGGAGAAGAAAAAGCTACATTTGCTGAAGGCGATTTACTCATCTTAGTCGGTGTGCCATCTAAAAGAGGGGTGTAGTCATAAAACTCATCTTCACTCTCGTTACTTCCATTGAGAGAACAATCAAAAGATTTGGTAGGAGAAGGAATTTCAACACTCTTAATGCGAATACGACCCAAGGCAGTTAATTCATACCCATCTCCCTCAAAGAGTTCTTGAATCATATTCTCATCTTTATCTTCAAGAAAAGAGTACAAGTATGTGCGAAATTGATCCATTGGGGTTTTGGTCGCTACAGTGGGTTTGGAAGTTCCTGTACAATCACTGATAGACATAGTCTCTGGAAAAAGCTTTGCGAGACTAGAAAATTGGGGACCAGAATCTGCTTGCTCAAAGCTAAATCTCATTTTAAATTGAGAATTACACATATCCTCGAAAAGATGAAGGAGATCTGAAGCTGAGTAACTAGATCGAGAAGGAGCAATAAGTGGTCGACTATTATCCATTCTCTGAAGTGATGATGCTTCCAGAGCAATAGGTGAAGATGATGACCTAGCTCTAGAGTAAGGAGGATTTTTCGTCTTTCGGTCTTTAATTGACATATCTAGTTTTCTGTTGCGTGAAGATTTCGACTGGGAATGAGTAACATATTGAAGTACGGTAAAGGAAGTTCCCAACCACCAATTGGCATAAGGCATGGTTACGTGAGAAGTAGATCGGGAGCCTGGTAACTCCAATGAGACTTTTGTACCGCAGCGTAGCATATGGCGCCAGTTGTAATAAAATTTAGCCCACTCAGAGGGTTGCCGACAAGATACATTAAGCGGTGTAGGGCACGCTTGAGCAAACACAAATTGACGACCGAATCGGTTAGGGGAGTACGGTTCAGAAATGAAATTAAATCCCATTTAAAAAGTTAAAACCCCTTGCCTCAAAGATATAAGATAGCCAAGATGGAAAGATGATATCCTTTCAGAGTTGACCAGAATGCCTGAAGGTTCACTTTCATGGGTAAGAGCCCTAAACTGACACTCCGTACGATAAGTTAGGAGAGAGTCCACAAATGGAAATTTATCATTAAAAAACTGGGCTGCCGATTGGTTTCCAATAAACCCAAGATATGGCATGAAATGAATATCAGGAATTGGACAAATCAACTGAGGATCCCCATGAGAGTAAGTCTTGACAAAATATAGTGAAATCCATCCAAAAAAGTAATGTAAAGGACCTTGAATATTTTCCTTCCCAGGTGAAGATGATGATGTCATTTTACCAAGAGAATGATAGAGGTATGCAAGGACGGGGATGGCCAGGCTAAATAAGGTTCCACCTGCCATTTTGGTGGCTACATGAAAGGTCGTCGGACGAATTTCCCCAGAAGAGTGAGGAAAAACAAATCCGCTAAGCCAGCTCGCCAAAAAACCGGAAAGATACACATCATCAGGAATTCTATCCTTTCGTTGAAACCCACTGATCGAAGTTGGAGATTCGTCAATGAATTTAAAAGTCCAGTGGTTAAACTTCTTGGATTGAACAGAGCTGGCATAAATGTTGAAAAGCCCACGGCACGCCTTGGATGTCTGGGACGAATATAAAATGTCACTGATGGGGTAAACTCTTCATAAAACTCACCACGAATGGGGAGCCCGCTAATGCGATGAAGGTCCCATAAAGAGATCCCAAGTTCGCCATAAATGTGTTAGTATCGGGTGACCACCGCTCTAAGAATCCTTTGAGCAAGGAGACATTCCTAGCATATGCAAATTGGGATACATAGATTGCAGCATAAATCCCACATTTCTTCAAAATAGGGGCAAATGTGGAAAGAACGTCATTCAACCAAAAAATCCATATGGGGGATTGCAAATGGGTAGAAATGCCACGGACATTAAAGGAATTATCCCACTTCAGTTTTTCATGCTTCATTCTCTTGAGAAGAGTATTAAATTCAGAGCAGTCAAGGTCCTCAGAAAATGGACGAAGGATTGAGACAGGGAGTGAACCAATTGATTTTGAGTGCCCTTTCTCGAGAATCTCACAGCAGTTTCGAATTCCTATATAAACCAAGTCTTCGGAAGCCGTATGTAAAGGGATGTAGGGGTCCAACTCGGTGGGCGACAATAAAACAGTGATAGGTTTGTGCCGAATTATTTTCGGACCAGATTTATCCAGTACATCCCTCTCGTCACGTCGAAGATATTCAAGGGTCTTGTCCATGCTTCCTAAATAAAATATATATATATATATATAAAATAAAATAAAAATGGTTAGTGAAGGCAAAATGTCATAATATAAAGAGATTAACAAAAGCCCCTTGGCCAAGAACTCAATTCATTGGGGTGACGGACATGTTCACTGCCAAGGACCCAATCCGTTGGGGTGACGGACACGTTCACTGCCAAGGACTCAATCCGTTGGGGTGACGGACACGTTCACTGCCAAGGACTCAAGCCGTTGGGGTGACGGACAAAATCACTGCCAAGAACTCAAGCCGTTGGGGTGACGGACACAATCACTGCCAAGGTTTCAAGCCGTTGGGGTGACGGACACATTCACTGCCAATGATTCAAGCCGTTGGGGTGAAAGGACACGTTCACTGCCAAGGACTCAATCCGTTGGGGTGACGGACACGTTCACTGCCAAGGACTCAAGCCGTTGGGGTGACGGACACATTCACTGCCAAGGACTCAAGCCGTTGGGGTGACGGACAAAATCACTGCCAAGAACTCAAGCCGTTGGGGTGACGGACAAAATCACTGCCAAGAACTCAAGCCGTTGGGGTGACGGACAAAATCACTGCCAAGAACTCAAGCCGTTGGGGTGACGGACAAAATCACTGCCAAGAACTCAAGCCGTTGGGGTGACGGACAAAATCACTGCCAAGAACTCAAGCCGTTGGGGTGACGGACAAAATCACTGCCAAGAACTCAAGCCGTTGGGGTGACGGACAAAATCACTGCCAAGAACTCAAGCCGTTGGGGTGACGGACAAAATCACTGCCAAGAACTCAAGCCGTTGGGGTGACGGACAAAATCACTGCCAAGAACTCAAGCCGTTGGGGTGACGGACAAAATCACTG